TTTATTTCCGATGTCTCCAACATTGGTATACTGTATCGCTACTCATTTGGTAAATTACCTAAATTGGTATTTTTCATGAAATTCAAAAATGTTTTTGCAGATCTACCTTCTGGAGCCTAGACCACGGCGTTTCGTTCGAAATAATCAAAACGCGGAATTACTTTTTCCAAAGTCAATCCCCAGTCTCTTCCGCAACTAATTCAGCGTCTCTTCCCCTTCCCCCTTCCCCCCCTAGATTCCATCGCTCGAATTCATTTTCCGATTTCACGCCGTTGATCTCTGATCAATTTCTCCTCCTACCTGACATCCGACGGACATGGCGTCTCAGGAGTCCATCGACAAGATGCAGGTCCGCCAGAACTATCGCAATCTCTGGCACACCGATCTGATGAGCACCATTCAGGCGGATCCTAAGTGTAACATCTTCTTCTCCGTCCAGTCCAGTTCTCCGTACTTTTACTACCTTCTTGTTTTTACTAATCGGCGCCTCTTTCTTTCTTTGTCGTTGCAGATTGCTGCTTAGCGTTCTGGTGGTAAGTGTTTTTGGATCTGTTCTTATTTGCGTTACCGATCTGATTGTAACTCTCGTTAAATTCTATATCCTTTATCGAGTTCTGCCTCTGATTCGTTAGTACTAGCTGATTTTTGGTAGTGTTGTAAGATTAGAGGAAATAGATGTTTCTTACTTGAGTTACAGAGATTGTGTTTGCCAGAATTCATCTATGTGTTTTCAATTAGGTGATCTATTATTTAATCCAGTGATTGAACCATCACAATTATAAATTTCAAGTCTGTGTCATGCCTCTTTAGCAGGTTTTTGCTCAATACATTGTGTGTTAATGGATATATTTTTTGCATGCATTTATCTTTCTGGTGTTATGGATCTCCTTTTCAAGTTTTATTGTCTCTTGCAGTCGAGGACGATAGATATGTTACTAATATCCATGTTATGTGGTAGACTAATATTTTACTGGATACCCAATTAAACATGATGGGGCTAGTTCTAAAAGTAAAGTTTGCACAATGTACTAGATAAAGCATTCCCGACCACTTTGGACATTATTTTCATAATGTTTGTTATTTTTGTCTTTCTCAATTGGAAGTAGATCTTGATTTTCAAGCTATCTAACTGTAAATAGCGTTTATCTATCCATTAAAATTCATTTACTTTTTCTTTGTCATGCTGCAGTGGGCCGTGTGTGTCATACTTGCTCCGAAAACGAGCACTTTACAATGATATGTCAAGGTAACTGATGGTTTTTGATCTCCTTAGTGCTCTATTTAGTGATGTCATATTTTGACTTGTTTCTTGTAGGTACACATGTTGTGCTGGTTACATGCCTTTTAGTGGCAAATGTGGGGAAAGCAAATGCCCTGAGTTTTGTCTTGGCGCTGAGGTATGGAAATTTTTGTAGCTATGATCGTTATTGGTTCTTGGTCATCCAGATTTCTTTGTTTACATACAATTATCAGCAGATGAAATAAGAAAATTTTGGCTGATCAGATCGTTCCTTGTATGCTACCCAATGATTACTTGTTTGGTTTCAGTTGTTTTACAAAACAAAAATCATTGACTTGCAGCAACCAAACCCAATATATCTAGGAAAATTTTCATGTTATAATAGTTGTAAACATATTAATGCTATAAGTATGGCCAATTATTTAAGTCTATTGCTATTGCTTGGGAAGTGGAGGATAAAAGTGTTGTCATTAGCTTATTTCAGAATTGTGGTTCATGTTTGCTTGTAACTGGGAAAGATGCATATTAAATTGTCTCGTTGTATTAACTATATCCTATGTGTCTCGTTGTAGCCAAAAATTCATGTGGGGGGGCGTGGGTGGGGCAAAATTTAAAGTTACTAGTCACTATATAAAATTGTAGGGTTTCAGTATAAATTGGTAATGTTTTTCCAATTGAGTTGAAATTATTGTTATACCCCCTTAATCATAAGTATTTTTTTAATGATATTTTCGTATTTCTAATTCTCATCTAGAAATGATTAAAAGCACATACCAAAATAGTAATTCAAAATACAATCCAAATAAATAATTGTTGAAACAAAAAACAATCCAAGTAATGACTTATAGATTATCATTCAATTAAGCTTTATTTTTTCTAATTTTTCATATTTTTCAACATCATAAAATTAGTATATGATGAATAAAGAAATAAAAAAAAATGAATGATATGAAATCAAATATTTAAGAAAAAATTATATAAAGTAAAAGTTAAGCATTGAAAATAAAAAAATGTTGAGGATCAAAATAAGTTTAACCAAAAAATAAAGTATTAATATGTTAACTTTTCAGAAGTTTGGGGGGGCCTGTGCCTCTCCAGGAACCCCTGGCTCCGCCTATGCCTCTCCAGGAACCCCTGGCTCCGCCTATGCCTCTCCAGGAACCCCTGGCTCCGCCTATGCCTCCATGCCAGAATAATTGGAAACTGAAAACTGCATTCATTACTTGCTTTATAATAATTTCCGTGTTCTGATCTCCAGGTTTTCCTCTGCTTCGGAAACTCAGTAGCCTCTACCCGTTTTCTGTTGCAAGATGAATTCAATATCCAGACAACAAAATGTGACAATTGCATCATTGTACTCTCTCTCTCTCTCTCTCTCTCTCTCACACACACACACACACACACACACACAGAGTAAAATTGTTGCTGCACTCTTTACCTCTGGTTAAGTCTATCACCTTTTGATATTCAGGGTTTCATGTTCTGCCTAAACCAACTAGCATGCATTTTTAGCATAGTTGCAATGATTGTTGGAAGTGATGAGATTCAAGAGGCATCTCGATTATTAAGTTGCTTGTCTGAAATGGTGTACTGCTCGTAAGTGTTTTATTCCATTCAATTCAACTTAATAATCTCATAGTCAAAGTGACTTGAAAATAACATACTGATGATTATATATGATTCTCTTCTTTTTTGTAGGGTCTGTGCTTGTATGCAGGTAAGCAAGTGCTTCAAGTGCATGCAAACAGGAAAGTTTGTTACTTCTGAACTGTCATATAATAGTCACCTAACTGGATTCTTTGCAGACGCAACACAAGGTTGAAATGGACAAACGAGATGGAATGTTTGGTCCACAACCAATGGCTGTGCCCGCCTTTCAGCAAATGTCACGCATTGATCAGCCAATTCCTCCCACGGTTGGCTATCCACCACCAGCATATGGACAGGCCTATCCACCTCCTCAGGCTCAAGGCTATCCAGGTTATCCTCCTGCTCAGTACCCTCCACCAGCTTATCCTCCTGCTCAGTACCCTCCACCAGCTTATCCTCCTGCTCAGTACCCTCCACCTGGTTATCCCCCATCCGGTTACTCTAGGTAAATATATTTGAGAAAGATATTGGTCTGCAAGGTGTAACTGTGTTAACTGCAGAGTTAATGGAGCTCCTTTTTTTTTTTTTTTTTGTTGTTATTATTAATCTTGCTTGTACTTTCAAATGCAATTGGCGGTGTTATATTTGTGTGTGTTTTATCGTCCCTTTGTTGATTTAAACTTTAGACTCGGAGGTTTCAAAAATATGTGTTATATTATGATGTCTATTCTCGCAAAATTTACTTTTCACTTTTATTTTCCTACTTTGTTGATTGTGCAAATTTTATTCACGAGCATCTGCATATCCTGGTGAACATAAAACCATATGCTTATTTCCCCTTCTCTATTTTTTATTAACCTTGGATGATGTGGATCGAGAAAAGGAAACACGTAATCCTATTCTTTTGGTCCTGGATATAGTCCGTATGGATATGAAAATATTATGAGTCTCTGGCTTTACCCCTAGATTATACCAATTGTAAAATAAGTGTTATTTAATGGGAGAAAGCCTTCGATATTAGAGAGTCTATTTTCATCTAATAGTTATAATTATGCAATCTAAAACAATTCAAACTGTATTACTATTTTCAAATATTATATATGCTCTCTTCAACTACTGTAATCCTCATAAGTTGCAATAAACAAATCGGTCAGAAAACTGAACCATATAGGTATTGTAACATAGAGAAATGGAAGAAGCAGGGTGGTTTATGGTTCTTCAAGAATCATGTAGGATTGATTTAATAAGGCGTGCTGCAAGCAAACAAGTGGAAAACAATTTAACTGATGATATTTGTTGAAATCTTAAAAGCAATCGCTGCCTAATCTGCTGGGACTCATCTGAAACAAACAAAATTTACACCAACCCGGAAAGCCACGAACTATTTATATCGCCCCACCTAACCTCTGCTGATGCAAAGCAAAGAGAAAAACACTCTTCCCTTTACCTAAGAACCAAATCTAACGCCCTCATTGAACCATCTTGAATCTCTGCCATCACCTCTCGTCACTTTTCCCTGACTTTCTATCCCTCTCCCAAGAAACATATACTTGATTGCCCTTTACTTTCCACAAGAATTTTCTTCAAAGATTTGCAGGTTCATTATGGAACCATGTATGTAGAAAAAATGAGTTAATGGTATAATTGTTTTTACGTATTTAAACATTTAGAACGAGCCAAATGAGGAGGTTAATTTCGAGTTGAACGGGTTCACACACATTGTACACAGAATGGTTCCAGTTGCTTCACAAGTGACGTGAGCTCCAATCCGCCATTTTGGTGGGATTTGATTTCTTTTGACAATATAGGTTGACCATAAATATTTCACTAGATTAGTCGCCTGGATACTTGTAAATTGTGATGTTTACAAACGATCATGATTTGTTAGAATTGTTTTTTTTTTTTTTGAACAGTAATAAAAAAGTTCCGTAATGATATAGTTACAATACTACATAGATAAGTCATTAAATTATTAGATGCATATAATATCACGAATGAGTTATTGAATAAAGAGTTAATTATCTAATTACTGATTAAGATTGTAAATTTATAATATCACATGATATTATAATAATATCACTTTTATAAGAAATTGTGATGTTTACAAACAAGCGTGATTTGTTATAATTGTATTTTTTTAAAACATTTTAAACAATGATAAAAAATTTGATAATAATATAGTTATAATACCATATAAATATATAATTAAATAATTAATATATATAATATTACAAATAAGTCCTTAAATAAAAAGAGATAATTATTTAATAATCAATCAATATTATAAACTTATAATATTATATAACATTAAAATTATGTCACTTTCTATGACGTAAGAAATTTAAATCCACATTTCTTACATGTTTCATATAGCTCATTACTGTTTGACTGATTTCAATGGTTCATTTTAGTGGGTTTGTTTTTTGTATACAAATTTGGTTTTTGCTTTGAAAAATTAGTAAGGAGATTGGAAGCTTCTTCTATTTGGTGGCTAGAGAGTCTATTTTCAATATTATATAGATAAGTCATTAAATAATTAGATGCATATAATATCATAAATGAATCATTAAATAAAAAAAAGTAATTATTTAATTATCGGTTAGGATTGAAAATTTATAATATCACATGGTATTTTATGTGATATTATAAAAAATTGTGATATTTACAAACAAGCATGATTTGCTAGAATTGTATTTTTTTTAAACATTTTAAACAATGATAAAAATTTTAATAATAATATAGTTATAATATCATATAAATATATAATTAAATAATTAAATATATACAATATTATAAATAAATCTTTAAATAAAAAATAATTATTTAATAACCAATTAATATTATAAATTTATAATATTATATAACATTAAAATTAAGTGACTTTCTATGACGTAAGAATCCACATTTCTTACATGTTTCATATAGCTCATTACTGTTTGACTGATTTCCATGGTTCACTTTAGTGGGTTTGTTTTTTGCATACAAATTTGGTTTTTGCTTTGAAAAATTAGTGGGAGATTGGAAGCTTCTTCTATTTGGTGGCTATTGGACAACCATGATGTGATAATCTCTACTTTATTAATGCTGCTTTTGTTTACTTTTTTAAGTGGTTTTGTTTACTTTTTTAAGTGTTATCAAGAAGTAGTTTGTTTGACCATTCCTTTTACTTCTAGTGCACTTGTATTATTAGCTAGCCAGTTATCATGACTATTTTTCTCTGCTTTTTCTTTTTTGCTAATTGAAAATGGCTCTGCCTTTAAAATTTATATTAATGGTGGGACTCAATTGAGAAAAAGAACCCCCAAAATAAAAAAAGGGAGAAAATAAAAGGCTAGGAAATAATAAATTAGATTAATGTGATCTAGTACTGCCCTAAACCGTGTGGCCTATCAACTAAAGAAAGAATATTAGCTCATGCTGTGTAATATGGGAAATGCTATTGAGATAACTATTTTGTTTTATTTTTTTGTATAATTTAATGTTTGACGTGTCATTAAAATGATTAATTTTTTTAATTTATGTGAAATCCGTAATATTAAATGTATCTATTTATTTAATAACATGTAAAATTATATAAAATGATTGGATAAAAAGATTATCCATATAGCATCACCTGTGTAATATTTAGGTTGTAATATTTAGGTTGCCACTGGGCACCAGAAGCATTTTGCCACGTCACCTCCAACTTAGTAATTACTTGCCTTTTTATTTCCTTATTTATAGAAACACATCATCTAAATTAGTAAATTATTAATGTATAAAGGGAAGCACAGGTTAGAAAAAGGAGACTAAAGGGGAAATTAGGAAATTAATTTTATTGCAACTCGATTATATATCATGATTAGAGTGTACAGAAAAATAATTGAATAAAGCATGTTTGGGCCATTTTTTGTTTTGTCACACATCATAAAATCAATTATTAGTGGCAAATTGGAATGATTAATTTAGATTTTATTAATATATAAAAATATATATTTTTAGAATAATATGATTCTTTTCATTATTGGCTTTAAATTTCCGAAGGAAAGATTGAAAAATGAGTAAATTATAGTTTTATAATTTAAAAGCAAGTTCTATTATATAAATGTACTATTTTATTATATATCTGTAAAATAATTTAAATTATAAAGCATGTTTTTGTTATTATATATAAAAATCAGTACATGTCAGTTTTAATTTTTAAAAAAATTTAAAGTTTAAAAATCAAAAGGTTAAACTTTCAATTTGATCCCTTAATTATTGTATAAATCTTTAATTTGGTTCCTAAATTAAAAAAATCTTTGATTTGATTCTTATTGTTTACCAATTTGACTCAAGTTAGTTGTTTTGTATAAAAACAGCTGACGTGTTTCATTATTAACGTGACATATTACCATTAAGTAATGATATTATGCTGTTAAATAATGAACACATAAATTATTTTTTAATAGAATGACATAACTCAGAGCTAAATTAGTAAACAGTAAACGTGAAATTAGGGATTTTTTTAGTTTAGGGACCAAATTAAGGGTTTATATAATAGTTGATGGATCAAATTGGGGGTTTAACCAAACCAAAACCTTAATTCAAAATTCAAAAATTTACCATATTAAATGTTAATACATAAATTTGGAAATCAATTATATTAAAAATCTAAAAAATGTCAATATTTATAAAATAGATTTTTAAATTTTGAATTGAATTTTAATTAAATAAAATGATATAATTTAAGACTAAAATTTCAATTTATTTTGAAAGTAGAAATTAATATACATATATATGAATTTTTTATCATGTGCACTTAAATCTTATTTAATGTGTTATCTGTAATTAATTTTTCATAAATTTTTATACTAAATTCAATTAAAATAAAACATAAAATATCAAATAAAAATATAATATAATATTTATACTCAAAATATGTAAAAATATAAAACATAAAATATAAAATAAAAATATAATATAATATTTATACTCAAAATATGTAAAAATATATGAATTTAGTATAAAAATTTATACAAAATTAATTATAAATATTATAATTAATGACGCTTAATTTATGTGCACAACTTCGACAAACCCATATATATATATATGAATGCGATTTAAAATGGAAAGAAAATGCTCTTAACATTGGTTTTTGTTTTTGTTTTTGTTTTCCTATAAGAAATGCATATTAAGAGAAAGTAGTGGTAAAAGGAAAATGTGAAGGAAAAATTAAAAAAAAAAAGCCTGAACTGAAAAGCAGATGACTGAAAAAGACACCCCAGAAAACCAGGATGAGATGATTATGATGATGATGGTGATGCTGTCTTAGGTCTAATCATACAATCATAGGATCTTAAGATCCCAAGAAACCCACAAAATTATTGCAAAATTAAGCATTAAATCTTTGCTCTCCATTTACCCTTTCAACATGGTAGAAGAGAAGATTGAAAGTAATGTTGTTATTATTATTATTCTTTTACCTTCCTCTTTCTTTCTCACCGATTTTCTCAACAAACAAACAGATCCAGCAGTACCCCATTTGAAAATCAAAGCAAACCCTTTTTCTCATTCCCACACCCAATTCATAAAACCTAAACAGAATCAAAATTCTCTCAAAATGAAGCAAAAAGAGGAAAGCTTTAACAAGGGAATGACTTCTTTAAGCCCAAAAAAATCAAGCAAAAACAACACAAAAAATTAGGCATCTATATCTTG